ATTTGACTATGATATATTATAATGGATAGTCCTGGATTCATTGTACGATTTATCTAGAATTGATTATTACTAAATACTCATGATTGGTTTTATGACTAAAATACTGACTTTTTACAGATTGCATCAGGATCACTATAATTATCTACTGCTTTTTCTCCATAAAACTGCCGCTAACAAAGCATGTTTTTCATGAAAATGTTCCTAGAACGGAGTGGAAGACAATCTGAAGCAAAAAAAAAACATCAGTTTTACATAGGAAAATCGCTGCTAAATCTCGAAATTGATTTCTTCTACTTGTGAGGGGACGATTTGAACTTTTTATAAAATCACACAAGGTAATATACCATGAATAAAAATACCCATACTGTCTTATAAGCATAGACAGTATATAGAATTTTTATTGTTATGAGGATTCAGCTTTTTGTATTGTTTATGAAAATGCAACGATATTTGTTCGAACATAAGAGCAACATTACTTTTTAAAGTTGTGCGGATATTTTTGATCATAAAAAACACCAAATATTTACAATAATAATATTTCTATGGATGGAAAATATCTAGGAATTGTTTTGAAATCTGTCTCTTCATCTGAATAATAGAAAGACGTTCGTCAATCTCTTTCTCATGAATTTTTAACGAACTAAGGAAGATAAAATAGAAATTGAATTTTACGGTAGAACAACTACATCAACAAAATTTCAGTAAACGAAATACTTATAATAATAATAAATTAATATCACCACTGTTGCATAAATAAATTATTAAGAGGAGAAGGGTGAATAAGATAGATTTCAGATAGATGATGCGAAAATAGTGTGTTTTTCGAATGTTTGAGCCATTTCTTCGGGTCGATACATAATAAAGACTGAACAGAATTCAATAAATTTTTTATTTTCTTTATTTTGAATGTACATACAACACTCAAAACAAACAAAAAAAAAATAAAAGATTTATTGAATTCTGTTCAGTGGAACAGATTTTATACATGAAACATTCAGCAAACTCTATCTGTACAATGGCCATACAATTCATTCAGATGTAAGTGAAAAAAATGAAGCAAAATAGATATATTTTAGTCTAGTTAGTCGTACAGGTTAATATTTCAAAAGTTTCCTTCCGTTTTCTTTTCTTCTTTTACGAAGCGAAGAAATATCTTACAGACATCTTCATTATGTCAGACTGGCATCACGACAGTTTTGAGTAGATATAAAAAAAAATTTTAAAAAAAATAATCAAATTGAAGAACTCGAGCACTTCTGGAAAAAAAATTTCAGAGTACGAGTATCGTCAAAATGGTACTCAAATTTTAGTTATTTTATAGTACCTTTTGAACTTATTCATCGCTGTAACAGACAAAGAATACCATGATGCTAAAATGTAGTAGTCGTTTTCCAAAAAGTAAAAGATTCTTCGTTTTGTTAAAATACGATCCTTTTTTTATTTCATATCAGAATCTAATTGAACACATATTAAAATTCTTTAATTCTATATTTTAAACGATAACTCTGTTTCACTGAAATTCATGCATGAGAAATGATTATGATATTTGATGCTGTATGTTCATATGGGTTTACTCTCAGTTCGTTCCATGAATCTTTTTTTTCAATTTGTCCCATATTAGTTTACACTTAATTAGCTTTAATATAGCAGATTCAACTAACTGAATAAACAAAATAGCGCAATTATCACAAGCGATTTTAAAAAACAGAATCTGTATCCGTATTCACATTTATATATACATATTTAATGCGATGTGAAGCAAGACCGCATTCTAGTAATAAACTGCGTCTTTCCTTTCTAGATCGAAAAAGTGTCATTTTATGTAACGATATTATCGGAAACTAGAAGGGATACAGTAAAATTTTAAACGCGAATAGGAGAACTGTGTGTCTGAATTAATAAATAAGCTATTTTCAGTCTTTGCAGATGTTCTAGTGGAGAGTTAGGACGTTCGAAAGTACGTGATTTGAACGTCTGGGACTTGTAATTTTTTTTCAAAAAAAAACGCTAGTTAATCTTAGTCATTCATGTGCAGGTGCATTTATAAGAGAGTACGTTCCCATACTATGTGACTCATCTCATGACAATACGCAGTATGTAAGATAAAATCTCTAGACTATGATAAAGGTTAAAGTTTAGTTGCAACTGAGAGCTTTATGTTATTAAACAAAATCTTCACCTCCAGTTATCATATTTAGCTACTTTGCACCGCATTTGTAACTCTCGCTGACGTGACTGCCGACTAGTTATTATCAGCAGAAAACAGTCCAGCTGCCTAGAAGAGTGAAATGTTTTCTTGTAACTCACTCTCATGCTACTACAAAAAACCCTTCCTCCCGCTCACATCGGGAATATTTGAACCAAAACTAAGCATAAACGGATACAAACTCCGGTAATCTTAGTATCCCAAGCATTTATAAATACACATAGATATATGAATACGGATACAGACTCTGTATCGAGTAAAATCCCATTTATATATCCACACATATGTCAATATAGATATATTAATATGTATGTGAGCTAATTAAGTGTAAACTAATATGGGACGAATTGAGAGAGAAGTGTTAATGGGACGAACTGAGAAAAAAAAGCTTCATGGGACGAATTAAGATGATACCATTCATATGATTACAGAAAAATTGCAATTACGAATGTGATTGGTTTCTATTATTACAAAGAGTAAAAATCTTACTTTTTGTTCTTATTTTTGACGATATACTAACAGATATACTGACATTTTTCGAATGTTGTCAAATGAAGTAATAGATGTTCACAGAAGAGACGAAAATATTTTTTTTCATTTGTCACGCCATTTATGATTATTAAAATTGTTCATAATTTATTCAACATTACTGTACTCAACAATTAACAAAAATATCAAACTAATAGAAATATTCATAAAATAAATCTATTTTTTATCTCGGAAATAATAAACTTCATTGACTAGACGTCAAATCATCATTCAAAATCAATCTGAGGAAAAAACAATCATAAATAGAATAGAATATTTTCAATTGTATTTCATATAAATATGTTCTTTTAAATTTCTAAAATCTTCAATAAAACCGAGATTATAAATTGAAACAAGAAAATATTTCGGCTGTACATCTCAAAATAGAGTGGCCACTGATGTTTTTTCTATAATACTTGATTAAAAAGAGATAAAGACTTTCGATGTCAATAGAGGACAGTTTACGACATGTATCTATGAAAAACTGAGTTTAGGTTTTTAGTTTACCATAGTGAATCTCAGCATGCAAAATCTACGAGGTTATTCGAACACGAAAAAAGAATGGATTTTAACCCTGATTCGTTCACCTGGGGTCCGTGCGAATCTCAGACGAAAACGAGTGTTTTAAAGATATGTCGTGCTGCTCTGTCAGATAAATAATGAGTGGATGCAATCAGTTCATATTGATACTACACCCTATTGTCATTCAGTGGAATATAAAGTGAAACAGTAAAATCTAACCGTTGTGTTCAGGCAGTATCCAAATTAAACCGGTAGAATTTGGGCATATTATAGGTGGTCGGATCACAGTTTCTTCTGAAGGCATGTTCGCATATTAGTTCTGAAGTGTACTCTATCAAACACCGAAAACCACAAGTTTCTCTTTTTGATCAAATGTTATTCGAAATATATCGGAAGCCACTCGATTCCAGAGTATCTAGTCAAATCAGCGATGAGTAAAGAATCGATAAAAATCCATGGATTTTTGAAGATAAACTTCAATTCTTCAGTCTTTTGGATTATTATCAAATCAAAAAATTATTATCATCAAGGTCTATGTCTAGTCTGAATAATTACAATGTTTTTTCATCCGTTTACTTACTAATTGTCAATGATTTTATGCTCTTTCTTGTTTATAAACTATGTCCATATTCAGATTCGACATTCTTTAAGTAAAAATTTGTCATGGTAAACAAAAGTAAGTATAACACAATTGATATAAACTCTTTTCTAATAACTTAATATAAGTTTATGTACCGTGTGAAATACGTTCAACATCCAGATTGTTGAATTTCTACTTTATCATCAAGAGTCAACATTCTTATAACTTAGTTTCACAGTAAACATATCCATTTTGTAGAAAAAAACGTTATTAAAAAAACCCAGAAGTCAATTGTTTCCTTGAGTAAACAGTATCTATCAGCTAACTAAACACAATAGCACAATATTGTTTTTGTTCTAATCTATGTGATTTTCTTTTATTACAAAAAATAGGCATCTGTATGTTGATGTAAGAATCATAAATTTTTTACATTTGTAAAGATTACAAATGCAAAAAAGAAAACGAAAGTAAAATAATGTACAAACGAAGTAAACTGACGTTAGTAAAAAAAAACAACATATATGTACAAACAAAAAAAGAAAAGCTTAAAGCAATAAAAACAGCTTCATTTCTTTTTGTGAAAACTTTCAGGGCTTTCCCTCGTCAAAAAAACAATTTTTTTAAGTTTAATGAGATTTTTGGGATACAATGGGTGTTTTTTGCACTTTCTATTATTTTCCCGTTACGAAGAGTCGGACGGATAGAACACGAACGGCGTAGTGTCTGCTATGCGTATATCCAAGAAGAAAGTTTTCACATTTTTGCTGACAAGCCTTTCTTTAAAGTTTTTTCATTTTTTGTTTTAATAGAAAAATATGTATAAAAACCTTAAAATATTCGAAAATAATAACAACAACTAAATATATATTTTCAAACTGTATGACTGTTCAAAGAGAAAAACTGTCTTTCATTTATGAGACTAACGCCGATCGTGTATACTCGATGTACAGTGTAAGAAAAATGAAAAGCCCATAAATGAAATTTAAAAGAGACAACTATCAAATACAAGAAAAGTTATAATTTTTTTCCAACAATAAAATCATAACCGAGCTAAGATAGCTTAATTTATCGAATATTCTCATTTAAAATGATATTATAAATTCGAAATATGTTCGTCTTCAAATATCTAATAAAAAGAAGAAAATGTGTGAAGTTTAGGTATCTTCAATAAGTGACAATTGGTGTTTTAGATTTTGTTTCTAATTTATGATTATCATTACAATCCGATGATGATGATTTATATTTCTGATTAACGTTGTTATTTTCATCTACTGCCGTTGTTGTTGAATGAATTTTTTTTTCAAATTCAAGTAATTGTCCGAGAAAACTAACATTAGGTGCAACAATTTGTCTTGAACTTTGCATTTTACAACAAGCCTCTTGAAATGGCATGTTTAATAGATTGATCATGTAAGCTAACACCAATGTTGGACTACGTGATATACCAGCACTGCAATGAACCAGAACATTGCCATTATTTCTAACAGCTTCATCTAAATAAAATATTTAAATAAAACAATAAACAAATTGTCAAATTAAAGACAATAGAGTTCCTTGTTTTACCAATAAAGTTTGATACCGGGATAAAATGTTGTCGAATATTTTCCGACAATAAATCGAGTATACTGACACGTAAATAACGATAGTCATTTTCCCATTTACACGGAATATCTGGTGTTGCATTCACTATATGTGTTATATGATGTTGATTTAAACGATCACGATTTTGAGCATCCGTAGAATTACCTGAAATATTAATTAGAATATGGAAAAAGCTTTTATATGCATCATTCTTCAACTTTTTAGTTGATGTTTGTTTCCATCTTTATGTTGTTTAGAGAGAAGCATGAAGTCAAACAGTATGTTTTCTTTTTGAATGACAGAATTAATTAGCATCCCAGTTTCTTCATAGATCAATAAAATGGATTTTAGTTGTTAATCAAGCAAAAACCCATAAGTGATGTATAATCTTCACATGAACATCAACAATATGCGTCGGATGTAATTTTCAAAACAGACTTCACTAATCGCTTTCTTCTTTAACAAACTTGTGAAGTGATGTTAGTGATATTCTAAACATGATACATAGTTCTTTTATAGAAATAATTACATTGTACATTGTTTCTTCTACAAAGAAAAATTGTATGTTCAATATTTCTATTCTATAAAATGGCAGATTATGTTGTTTACAGAATGTCAACATATTTTGTAATATTTTTCTATTATAATGTTGAATTATAAATGAATAATGAACTCATTTTCTTTTTCCAATAAAATTGTCTATGTCTTAAGTATTTAACACTAACTATTCGTTTCTATCTTTCTACCCCATCTCATTGATGCTATTTACATTATTTTTTGTTCGTCTTCGTATTAATGCCATAAAAAATAAATATAGAAAACACAACAGTTGTTCTATAACATCATTACGAAATTATAGTTTCAAAAATAAGCGGTTCACGAATCGGATATATTTATCTTGCATTCGACACTTAAAATGTAAAGTAAATATATCCAGTTCGCCATAATAGTCATAAAAGAAAAAAACAAAAAAATCTGCTTCTGCTAGGGAGCAATACGTACTTCAATTATGACATGTAAATATTTATTTTCAGGAAAAAAAAAAAAAGATTACTAGCTAAAGTGTAGTTCTACAATTCACTTTTGACATTACAGCCGACATATGACCTCTCATCGAGTTACCATGAATGAGACGACGTTAGCAGAATTAACATTAATAGAAAATACATGACAAATTGTCATGTGAATGTCCATCTGTTCTAGTTAGCTACAACGCACGCCCATGACTCGTATGTTATGACTCAACAACAAATCAAATTTTCTTTTTTAAATTAGAAAATCATTTTAATATTGCTAGAAGAAATTCAATACTTTGTGCATGTTTCAACGATAAAGTTGAACAAAATACTCCATTTCTCTACAAAAGTTGTTTGTATTAACTCATTTTGATGTGTGGAGAACTGCGTATTGATACGTACCGACAAAAACATGTGGAACAATTTCTGTCATAACTAAATCATGTGGTGACATAACTGATGGTGATTCGGGTACACATTCTTCATTCATCGTTAGATGAGTTGATGATAATGATGGCTTAGGACATTTTTCAGCGCATTCAATAAAATTTGGATACTCTTTTTTAACTGCATCAATACCGCCTAAGGAAATAGAACATGTCTCAAATTTGTACTAATGCATACTATCAATCATTCATTGATAGGACTTTGCTCCAATCTTACCTAGAATGACAAAAACCTTTTTCTGTGACTTTTTTGCTGCTTGGACACATAAATTCATGGGAAATGCTTTTAATTTTTCTTCATTATTGACGAATGTTGATTGATCATAAACAATAATAAAATCGGAATTAATTATATTTGATGAAAATTGACAACAAACATCTTCTAAACGTTTACATCCACTTAGGCGTTTAGCCAAAAATTTATGACAACAATTTAAATTTTGTGCATGACGAATACGTTCATTAGCATAATCTAAACTTGAACGACAATCTATGATAGGCATAAGTGATAAATCTAACTGTGTTTTATTTTTTAATAACTGACAAAACTCTTGCGGTGTAATGAATGAACATTCACAAGTTGATGATATAGCATTTTCAGCATCTGCACACGAATAAGATTTTGTTAACGGTTTTTTAATTACTCGAACGGTTGTGTTGGTGTTACCAGAAGAGGATGTAGGGTTTGAACACAGTTGAAAATCTAATGCATTTTTAAATAAATGATTAATTTTATTCATACCGATTGTTTCATTTTGAGTAAAGCCATTTTGGCGTAGCATAACTAAAAAAGAGAGTATATCGAACATTATGGATAAAGATTTGGTTCATTTCTATCGAAGTATACAGAAATATTAGCTAAATATATAGAGATCATCACAAGTTGTGTATGGTACACTGGTTTTGAGTCTGTTCCTAATGGTAGTTGAACTTTCTTTGTGGATTTAAATTACTACTAAACAAGAAAACTGCTAGAAAGAGCCATATATTTATTTATTATTAGTATTTAATTATAGCTTTTTATTTCCGGCCACAGCAATATGTAAACGGTATCCGACCTCATTGGTGATTTGATAAGAGACATCAATGGTAGCAGGTTCGTCTAATTGTCTGAATAAAAGAAAGTCAATACCAACTCACTGCAATTCTTAGAGAAATTTATTTGCGTTATTATCAAAGGCTTAATGAAAACTTGCAATTTATGTATAGATGTCGTTCTAAGTTATCAGAGAAAAAATCTGTTTAGTGAAAACAATACAAGCAGAAGCATAGTTTATCATTTTTCTTTGTTTAGAAGGAAATAAAGAGCTAAATTTAACTTGAAAAATGGTTAAATGCGGAAAGTATAGAAGATTCTTACTTGCACAGTCTCGTTTTTAGTTAAGTGTAAAATTCGAGTAAGTCTGTTCCTCGCTTACACAAGCTAGACCGCCTGTAGTGACAGCTCAAACTCAGATGTCTGTACCTTATACAAGTGCCCTTTCAAGAGAATATTTGAAAGTGACGACCAGACACGTGACGCAGAATTTTTTGGGTAATCATATATCGCCGCCGAGGAAAAGCTTTTTCCACATCGTCACCGTTGACTGAAATAATCGGCGTTCGACCCTCGACTAGGCGAAATTTCAAGGCTGTCGGCCAATATTTTTAACCGGCGTGCATGTCTGGTGATAACCATTGTAAAAAAAGTCAAAGAATAAAGTCGGATGTCATTATGTACCATGAGATATTTGGAGAGTAGAACTTTCGACCTTCGGTTTACAAATTCAAAAAAATCTTGATGGAATTTCGCTCAGTACTCAAGAGTAAAAAGAAAGAGCAGAATAGTTTTTTTTCTATTATCGACGTCATAATTTCCACTTTACCTGTATGCTTTTTAAATTGTGAGTTATATAGTAATAATAAATTTTTAGTTATTGAATACGCTTGAATATATATCTTGTTTTGAAAGAGAGAGACCATATGAAAAAGAATTTTTTTTCATAAAAAAGCAAACAAGAAAAATAATTGGGCAGACATCTTGTTGCACCTTCCCCCCCCCCTCCCTCCATCATATATTTCTATTATTGTTTATTATTAATAAATTAATGTATAACCATTACTTTTCTTTTTCACATAATTTCTTGATTGCAATCGCGCCTTGTTATTGAGAGATAGCGAAGGTTACTCAAATTCTAAACTATTTGTTGTCAGTTTTGTTTAGAATATTTCAGATTAGTATACAGTATCGTTAGTGTACTGTCATCCACAAGATTTGAATAAATCATTCCCGTTCATCTCTTGTTATTACTAGGGATTTCATCAAGACGCGTACAGAGGCAAATATTATGCGTTTCTTAATATATAACAACTCGTGTTGTAGACTGTGAAATACATTTTTGAATCCTTATACACATCTACTCTGAGTAAATAAGTTTATCATTGAGTGAAAACCTGTCAAATTATACATTAGTTTATGAATGAAAAGGTCTATATTCTACATGTTCATTAGAAAATAATAGCCTTTAGTACATCCATTTGAACATTTTACTTCAATTATTTGGTAATCAAGTTTGTCAGTTTAAACTGCTAAAATTCAACTATTTTTATTGGAAGTCACTTTCTTCACTTTCAACAAAATTAATATTTGAAATTTTCTGTTTTTTTTTATTTTGTTATTGTCACTGTTGCTATTGATATAGCTTCATTGCCAATCAGGTTTGTTTTACATGCTATTCAGTTTATATTTACAAATATTTACTGTGATATAGAATGTTAAAGATTATTCAGAATCGTTTATGGCTAAGGTATAGATCAAAAAAGAAAATGTCACATTAACAAGTAAATAACATAACTTGCTACTTCTATATTGTGATTTCTATACTCAAAAATAGTATATCAACTCAACAGGAATATTACGATACGTTTGTTTTATTTACTGTTGTGTATCGTAAGCTTTTGTGAAAAAAATAAAATCTTACTAAATTCAACTCATAAAATTGTTTTTATTTAAAAACAAAAAAAATTTAATAAATGTAGAAGTTTAATAGTGGTTAATTGAAATTTATTTGTAACCAACGTTTCGGAAGCACATGAATCCATTATCAAGTAATAAGTAAATGAAACCCGTCCAGCGGCTTTCATTCAGTTAACTCATTATCGCGTCTCTGGGTAGAAGGTTAGCATCACTCAGAGTTCTTTTATTTATTATTTGATAATGGATTTATCAGGATTCAAAACATCGGTTTCCAATAAATTTCGATTAATCACTATTCAACTTATACGTTTATGACATATCACTGTAAAAGAAAACTCATTCACTATACGTTATCAAAGAACTTGCTGGTAAACTTATCATAATTTTTTAGCACCTAACAAACTTATTTTGTTTTCTCTGATAAACAACTCTTTACTTTTTAATTTAAGATATTTAGACCCGTTCTGATGAAAATGAAAAATTTATGTGAATATGTTGTTCTTACAGTTCAATTTATACTTACTTTAGCGCAAAGGACTAATTCAAGTTATCATTTTCGAAGTTTTCGAAATTAACTTATACATTTCGATATACCCCCCCCCCCCCCCCCCCCACAAAAAAACCCGCGGGGGGGGGGAGGACACCCGCCACAAAAAATTTTTTTTTGGGGGGTGTTTTTTTGGGGGGGGGGGGGGGGGCACTATTACAAATGTACTGAACTTTATAAAGTTTTTTACTTTCAATTAATTTTGTAACTTCCCATATTCTTCTATACATACATTATTTTATTTCACGTTCATAGTAGTAGTAGTTTAAGTATATTATAACTTTTATCCCTGTCTTTCATTTAGAACGAAATGAACGTATTTCCTTTGTAAACGAAAGAAACACATAGTTCAATTTCCTTAACGACATGTCGTTAAGTCCATCATCTTCATTCTCTTTCTTGCGATACGTATTACGAAAATATCAACGGATTGCGACATGTTCTTTAACTGGAAAAAAGAAACAGACTGCGCTACAATATGTTCTTTTCTTCATTAATTATCATAAAAACAAGTCTTTCTCTTGGTCCAAAAGTCGAACGAAATGAGGAAATAAAAAGATATGTTCTGCAAAGAACATGTTCATTTCTTATAAATATGTCGGTAGTCTTTCGTCCCATCTCCACACTGACTAGCTTCTACTAATTCCGGTGTTCGTTCCGATCATCGATCGTTTGTTCCTGAATGAGATTAATGAACTGTTTCGTCCATGCCTGTTCAGCATTGATCGAATGTGTCGTTAAAAAATTCAAACTATTTTTCGGACGTAATAGAAGCCCTTGGGCTTCTATTACACCTTCCACATCGGTTCCTCCAGAGGAGGCTTCTGATACGGGAGGGGGCTTCTATTATGAGAGAATGACATGTCTCATGAGTGATTAACTCAACCGTGAAGTATAAACATTCTTTTAGCAGAATATGTTTTTACGCTAATGAAATCATGATTTATCACAATGTCTACTGTCTTTTAAAAAAGGCGTCAAGAGATAATTAAACAGGGAATAAACAGTCTGTATGTCATTAAAATGGTCATCTTCGTCGTGCATGCTCATATATTTTTTCATGACACTACTAAGCACACATGTGTCATGTTTTTAATCATTCAGCTATTCTAGAAAATAAACGAATTTTTCGTCATTATGATGTTATTTTCTCTTAATAAACAGCGTCATAAAATATCTCTTCGTTTTTATTTCAGTGACCTTACATTTAAACGCCATTGTAATTATATCGAACATTTCGAAAGAACATAAATAACGCATGAAGTTTTTCATCATTATTCCAAATAATACGTCATTTAAATGACATAAATCACTTAAAATACTTTTAGCATCGTTGGAATGACGAAATTCACACACTAACCTGTTGAAAGTGGAATTATTTGCAGCAATTCCATTTTGTCCATTTATAATAAACGGCATTTGGTTCAATTTTTTCTGCTTATGATCCATTCCTCTTTCTTTTATCTCTCTAAAAATAATATTTTTATGCCAAAAAACCTTGTCAACATCTGAATTGTGGCAGAGATAGACCTAAGTAGTATCTGCATTGTTTATATAATAACAGCTAAACTTTTGCTCAAAGTGCTTGTTTTTGCTAAAGTAATTCCATTTGGTTAAAAGTGCCTTAAACGTTTGCCATCTAATGTTATTTTTGATTACTATTTCCTAAGCATAGATGAAAGTTGTTGTTTAGTAGTCTGATCCAATTAGATATGGACAATAACAAGACTTTTTGTTAGTGTTACCGTAAGTTTTTTATTTTGTATCGTTATCGTTACTATTAGTAACGTCGTTTTGCCCCCCATATCTAGATCCAATTCTACGTTTTGTTATTAAAAAGAAATATTTTGTAATTGAGTTTAATGCCATTTATATAGAAAAAGAACTGACATCTGTTTACAGCATACATCTTAGGTAATTAAACGCATCAAATTCCTTATTCATTTTACTGCCAAAATGCGAACAAAGACAATTGCAATTTTACAGTGGTAACAAAAACTTTTGAGAATGTTATCTATTACATCAGTGAATAAACACACCTTGAAGGCGTGAAATATTCTCTGTTTGAAAAGTAAACGTGTTTTAATAATTTGGTTCTTTATAAATTCATAAATGACTCAATTTTTGTCGAAATTTGGAATGACAAACTCATAAATTTTTCAAATGGGCCTCAAATCTGAGAAAAACTTTTCTCGCGTTTGTAAACGCCTCAGATCTTAACATTATACTTTTTAACTGCACGTCTCCTCTCCCTTCTTAAGGGGGATCCTGTCACTCAC